TATTACAAAACGAGATCAAATAAAAGTAGCGGAAGCCATTTGTTCAAAACCACACACAATCACACGGAGTTCAAATACAGTGCCAGCTGATGATCATCTCCAACAAAAGCATTAGACGAGACGTAAGGAATGACCATGCCCATGGTCCTAAGCATCACCTATCGCAGGATAAAGGCAGTTGATACAGTAGCCGTAATACATCTGCCTATCTGAAACAAGTGGGAATAAAACCCTGAGTACGAGAAGGTACTCAGCTAGACTTACCCGATATAACCGAAAATAAAGTGACACCAAGGATTATGAAGGGCTTTATAGTAGGGTAGCTGACTCATTTGCAAAAAGAGTCATTTTTAGTATTTCAAGAACATTTCCGAAAGCATTATTGTCAAGTTACTTATTATTAACCTGTCGACTACATTTGCACCTATACTAGAGCAAGCATGTGATTAAGTAAATAATGATAACCAATGATCATTAACAACTTCCATAATGTCATATTCATTATAACTGTCCAAGTGTTCCATCAACATTACTACGATGAAGTCACTCAAGTCAAGTGCTCACTATCCAGGAGCGATGGCGATTCGAATCGATTCCTAACCAGCTGGTGATTTATTCCTTACACAAACCTCACTCACCCGCTAAAGTGAGGTATCGGTCACCGAGTCAACTATCTAGGAAAATCTCGAGTTTGCCAGGAACCACATGTACTCGGGGGCCGACCGACTGCCTTTTGGTCTTATCATCGCGCCCCCGTGTCCTACCACACCTGCTCCGGTACAGTGTGCTGCGAGCAATCTACTCGGCACGAATAATCTCCCAGCTTCGCGGTTGAAAGGTACTTTATTCGGCCAGCTAAATGTAAGGCATGCGTTCAACATGACTCGAGGCCCAACAACGGTCGGTCCTTAATCGACACAGACGGAAAGCACTACAGTCCAAAACTCTGTAAGTCTCCGTCCGGTCTCAACTTCAATTAACACTTAGTATACCATGACTACATAGTTATCCAAGCAGATCCAGGTAACCACCTATAGCTCGCAGGTGACAGAAAATCACCCGACTTCTACCGATGTAAGCCAGCTAAGCATTGACTCGACTGCGGATACCAGGGTAACAAGGATATAGTATAACAAAGGTAGACAAGGTATAATGCAGCAACGGTTGCAAATAACTCCTGAACGTAATGCATCAATTAAAGTAAAGCATTTAATTAATAATTGCAAACCGAGGAGAAAAATGCTCTGGGGCTTGCCTCTCTCGAAGGAGCTCGGGCGGTGATCGGGGCACTCGGGGGTTCCTCAACGTCCTCCTCGTCTGCTTCGGTCACTTCCTATGGCTGCACCTGGAGCTGCTCCTCGGGCTCCTCGGGTATGATGACCGGGCTCTCGGTTTGCGATCCTGTATGATGCAGGTGCGTAAGTGCTTATGCAAAAGGTGCATCGGATGAAATGGACACAATGAAGGTGCTTGCATGCAAGGTAGTCAACATCATCCAAGAACATGTACTACAAGCACATGTTATCTACTACATTCTCTTCTACTACTAATATGCTACGTCAACACATCTCATTAAATGCTTCAAAGATACACCAAAGCTTCACTAATTTCTTAATCATGCATAAAGCAACATTTGATTAAACCGTAATTAATAATAAGTTTGAATAGGAACATCTATTTTTATAGCATAGAAAAATCTTAGAAAATTACCATAGCACAGTACTACCCTAAGTAGTCTACCATTAAATTTTTATGGCATTTGGATAAGTGGATTAGCCTACACAAAAATGACAAGCTATGGCATAATTATGATCTGATCATGAAAATACTTTGCACTGTGAAAAGTGTCAAACAACAGATGTAATATTTTTCTTAAGTTCTACACAGTAATTAATCACTGCACAAAAATTATCACATGCATGTTTTATACAAATTTTGCTTTCTAGCAAAAATAACAAAAATCAGCCATTAAAGGCACTTGAACTACACCTCATAATTTTTCTACAGGATATGCATGGCATATATTTTTCCTAGGAAGTACATTACACAAGAAGAGTAACAAACTTGAAATCATATTTTTCTGATACATATAGGATTTACTAAACATTTTACAAGATATCAGCAATATCAAGAATTAAATAAAGCTCTACATTAAAGTATCTCAAACATGACATGCAATATTTTTATCATGTAGATCTGGTAACAGGGAACCTAGCAAAATTTGTTTCAACAAATTTGGAGCCATTTTGAGCAAGTTATAAATTTCCAAAGCATTTAACAGAAATCTAAAAAATCATTTCCTAAATCCTTTTAAAAAAAACCAGCCGATGAAAACGCTGGGTGCACCCGGTGCAGTGCACCGAGACCCGAGTCAGGGCGCTGACGAGCGGGCCCCCACGGTCAACGGCCCCCATCTGTCGGTCAGACCGAGACAGGGGCGGAGCTGATCGGCCAGCTCTCGCCGACGGTGAGCTAGCCGGTGGCGCGGCCACCACCAGCATCTCACCCGCGACGAGGCGGACGCGGTGCACCAAGAGAAGGCATGGGAGGAGCTCAGAATGGAGCTCGACGGCGTGCATGGCGGAGTGGAGGTGCGGCTCGTCGGCGGTACGCCGACTCCGGCCACGGCAGGGCGCGGGGAGGCGCGTAAGAGTTTCGTGACGGCAATGCGGTGCTCATGTGCTTGAAAGGAAGGAGAGAGGTGTAGCGGAGAGGGGCTGTCCGCGCAAAGCCAAGCTCCGGCGAGGAAGAGCTTACTCCGTCGAGGAATTACCGGTCGGAGAAGACTTACCACGACGAACAGACTCGAGCACCGGTTGCGAAAGGTGGAGGCGATGCTGCTGGCGAGATGGAGATGGCTCCGGCGCACTGGAGCGGCCGGAACGGCCAACTCCGACGATGGCACGCGGTGGAGGCGAGTGTTGTGGCTGCTGCTGGCGCTGGCGGAGGCGAGAGAGCGAAGTGGAGGAGTGTGGAGGAGCGCAGCGCGGTCGGGCAGATGAAGGCGCGACACTAGGGCGCGGGGCAGGCCGGGGCTGCCGCGCGGCGTGCTCGCCGGCGCATGGCGGCCACGCGGCATGCGCGCTCTGTCGCGGCCGGGTGAGTGCACGACAATGGGCGCGGCACGCGGGAGCAGGAGCGCGGCGCGGAGCAGGCCGGGCCGGCTTGCGCAGCTGGGCCGAAGGCGAGGCGCGCGGCCCATTTATTGAAAAATGTTCTTTTTCAAATTCTTTTCAAATCCTTTTTCATTCAAAATGAAATTTTGAACTATTTCAAAGCAGTTTCAAAAGTTGGTGTAAAAATGAAAGTTGTTCCATTTTTCAAGATCTACAACTTTGCTTGTATGACCAAAGTCAAATTCCAAATAGATTTTGAACTACAAAATAAAATAAATATTAACTCAAAACCCTAATTTTGGAGAATTATTTTTAAAGGCAAAATTTGGTAAAATTTGAAATATGAACTTTGCTCCGAATTGTATCCTAAATATTTTTAAGCTATCGTAGTGATTAAAACAAGAATCATGACATCCAAGCATGAGCATGACATTTCACATTGTTTGAACTATAAATGAATTTCAATCAACTTAAGCACCACATGAAATGATACTTCATTTCTTTCGAAATGAAATGCATGAATGATGCTTATGCATGAGGTGATAATGATTATGCTCATGGGATGAAATGGTAATGCACGCTTAACACCGAGGTGTTACAACTGGCTTTGGCGTCTGCCCCTGCTGTGGATACAGTGCGGCAGGGGAGCCTTTCATCGTCTGCCCCTGCCGCACGTAGAGAAGGAGAGTGGCAGATTACTTTACATTCGCAGCTTTACGAAAAAAAAAGAATCCAAGTCGTTTGGAAACAAGAATTTGAGTGGCGTTGTTGTAGGGCGCTATTTTTCTTTAAAGTAGCACAAGGGAGCTGCTGAATATGCCGAAATTACAGATTATGAATATGAAATGAGGCTAAAGAATGGAATAGGGCAGTGGTCCTTTTTATTATTTTTTTCATGCCGTGGGATCCAACAAAGGCCCGTTCGCTTGTCTGAAAAAAGAAACCCAAACACTGTAGCGGCTGGTTTTGTGAGAGAGAAATACTGTAGCGGCTGAAAGATGCACTGTAGCACGTGAGGGGAACAAGCCAAACCAGCCGGCTGGTCTGAAACTTTCAGACCAGCCGAACGCGCCCAAATTGGTATGGAAAGGGGACCCTATCGACAAACTAAGTGAGTCTATAATTAGAAGCTGCAGATCTGGTAGGCCCATGCTCTTTGCAAACTAGTATATGAACAATCTTTTTTGAGCAAATAATTAACTATGAACAATCTGTGACCAATTTATTTGGCAGCATCATTGGCGAGGTTCAAGCTGGGAAGAAAGCAGCAGCTGATCATCTCCTTCGGTTGGCAATCCTTCCTAGCACCAGCTACTTTGTTTTTCTTCCACTTTTATTTTAACTATATGTAATGTAAGCTGCCCTTAACGCTGGCTCCATAATATGTTCTTTTTTTTTATGGACAACTAGGCTCCTTGTTTGTTGTGTCTTAAACCGGGTATTATTTTATCCATTTGTTTTGCCAACTGCCCCTCCCTCCCTTCTTGTGTAACCTGTTTTTCCTCGTATACTTCATTCGGCTTGCTGAATCTTGGTTGAAAAACACTATTCTAGAACTGAAATATTGTGAGAGAAAAATACTATTTTAACTGAAAAAAGAAGTCGCACAAGCTGGATACGGAGTAAGCCGAACGGGGCCTTACTACCAGCTCTTCTGCAGTTCTGCTATCAGAAAGCTCAATAGCTAAAGCAGGATATAAAAAGTTGGCATTGTGCATCTACATGCATGGTGTCCTTTTGTTTTGCCAACGATCCAGTTAGTTTGAGGCAAAATTTCTGGGGAAGAACAAAGGCGGCACCTTTCTAAGCGGGAGCAAGTACGTTGAGGAGGCCCACGAAGCTCATCGCAAGAAGGAAGCCGGTCATCCACCCGATGCCGGGCTCCTAGTAGCTCCCCGGCGCGTTTCCTGGCGTGTTCACCCCGGCCAGCTCGTATGTCTTCTTGTCCAGCGCCAGCAGCGACGATCCAAACCCACCTGCACAGCACCAACAAACCTCAATTTCTATATGTGCATCCACAAGCGACACGTGAATTTAGTACATCTTCTATAAAAGACTATAAATTTGAGGCGAGTCACGCCGCAGTACTGTTCATCGACCGCGCCCTGACTCAGATTCCGGAAGATGAGCAGTAACGATCATCGAAGTACTGTTCATCGACCCTCAGTTTCATGTGGATGAACAGTAACTAATCAGATGAACAGTATTTTTCTTCCCTCACAGCGTCCACTGTTGCCCGCGCGAAGTTATCAATAAAAGACTCAGCTTGACTAACTAAAGAAAGAGGAGATGGGAGATTGGGAGATACTGGGGATGGGAGCGCACCGCCGAAGCCCATGGTGTAGCAAGCGACGGCGCAGGTCTGGACGACGGCGTTCTCCTGGCGGGTGAAGGGGCGTGGCGCGCCGCCGGCGCCGAGGCGGAGGCGGCCCAGCGCGCGCGTCCAGCCGCGGAGCGAGAGGAAGGCGAGTAGGGCGGCGGAGACGTTGAGCGTGGAGATGATGCCGGTGGTGAGCGCCAGCTTGAGTATGATCACAGTGTAGACGAACCCAATCAGCAGCGCCGCCACCAGGCCGCGCACCGTCACCTGCTCCCGCCACGGCGGCACGGACTCCTCCGCCCGCCGGTCCGCCGCCGCTACGGGCTCCGACTCGACGTCCTCGGCGTTGGCGACGCACTTCTCGATCTCGACCGCCGGCACCACGCCCGACGCAGGAGCGGCTTCCATGGCTGCCGGGGCGAAGCGAAACTAGCTAGCAGCAGTAGCCTGCAGTTTAGCCCCTTCTCTATAACGACGAAGGCTGTGCGCACCAACAACAAGGCAACAAGCCAGGGAGTCGGGGCAGTGAGAGGGATGATGCCGCCACACAATCCAAAGCAGCAAGGCGGTCAGGGACTCAGGCTCTGTTTAGTTTCCTCCCAAAATACCAATTTTTTTAAAATTCTCCATCACATCGGATCTTTGAAGCATGTATGAAACATTAAATATAAATAAAAAATAAAACTAGTTACATAGTTTAGACGAAATCGACAAAACGAATCTTTTAAGCCTAATTAGACTATAATTAGACACTAATTACCAAATAACAACGAAAACACTACTGTATCGTTTTATCAAAAATTTTGACAACCCCTCAGGGCCAGCGACGAGCAGCTACATGCCGTGCCGTGCCACCTCTAGTCTAGACTCTAGTGTGAAAAATGTCGGGACCATCAAATATCCGTATATCGGTTAAACAGTTGATATGAACATCCATATCCATATTCCATATATGGACGCTAAACTAGATGTATCTATCTAAATCAATTTTTATTTTTTTATCTGAATCTATATCGGTATTAAAACACATATATAGATGTGTCCAATATCATCTGTATTCTTAAGTAATTGGTCAAACTATCTAATATCTATATAGTATGTATCTATAACTAATGCTTAATGGTATTAATTTTAATATTACTAATGATGCACAGTTGAAAATGATTTAAAAGTTATTTCTAAAAGAAAAAAGTCAATGTAACAACTGAATTATTAACTTCGATCTCCTTCCGATATTTTAATATGTAAACTTTCTTTATTGAATAATTTAATAATAGTCCGCGCACAAGAACTTATAGCTATATGTCCTAATTTTTACTATTTAACCTTTTTTTAATAAAATTTACATTTAGCCTACTGAGAGACTTAAACTCATCTTTGGACTCTGAAGGTCGGCGCCATGAGTTCTGGTGTCGAGGTAACACGTCATGGCGCCACAGATCTTGGCACCAAGGTGCCTAGCCGTGTACAGAAGAAAATCCTACGTGACCCGATACTTCAGCGTCAGAACACGTGACGCCGAGCTCGGCGCCTCATACCTCGGCGCCGAGCTCGAGCCCCTTGGGCGTTGACGGCGCGCGCGACGAGGCGGTGCTGCTGCTCACTGCTCTCTTGGTGGCCAACAACTTTCAGCCTGTTCGCTTGCTCGTAAACGATCGTAAATTTCCAGCCAAAAACAGTATTTTTCTCTCACACCAAATCAATCAAATAATCCACGATATGATAGGGCTCAACACGCTGTTTCTCGCGACCAATTTTTAAATAAAAAGAGAAGATGCGTGCACCACGACAGCAACAGTATACTAGTACGATAGATCATCTGTGACTCGTGAGGCCCATGAAGAAAGCATGCCACTAAGGGCGTGTTTAGATCCAAATTTTTTGGTTTTGACTACTGTAGCATTTTCGTTTGTATTTGATAATTAGTATCTAATTATGAACTAATTAGGTTCGAAAGTTTCGTCTCACGATTTCTCACCTAACTGTGTAATTAGTTTTTTTTTCGTCTACATTTAGTACTCCATGCATGTGCCGCAAGATTCGATGTGATGGATACTGTACAAAAAATTTTAGGTTTTGGGGAAACTAAACAGGCCCTAATTAAACCAATGGGTGGTCTTTGAGTCCAAAGCTACTCCTCCTATATATAGCGCGTACAGGTGTCTTAACGTGGTGCACTAGTCTCAACCGTTCTCGCTTTCGTCGTCGATCTCGAGTCCAAGCTCGCCACCTGGGCCGTGACCGTGAGTACATCAGCATGCATCCTATATATAGCGCGTACAGGTGTCTTAACGTGGTGCACTAGTCTCAACCGTTCTCGCTTTCGTCGTCGATCTCGAGTCCAAGCTCGCCACCTGGGCCGTGACCGTGAGTACATCAGCATGCATGGAACCTCGTTTGTGTATCATTCGTCTGTGAAGTTTTGGCACGGACGGACGGACGCGCGCATGCTACGGTGAACTGGAAACATGGGGCACACTGAGGCTAGTACGGTGCATGCAGCTATCTGCCGCTAGCACTACTACCACTACCACGGCCAGAGGTGGGGCCCGTGTTGACGTGTAAATTGCATAATCAAGTGCTACATGTAGCTTGATGTGAATTAAAGCGAAGAAATAATATATTTTTAATAATGCGGAGACTTGCACGAAAAGTGTCACCGGTGATTTTGACCGTACCTGACATCACAACAGTGTCGTCGTATTTTACTTATCTAGAGTAGAAAAATCGATAGCTCTCGACTACAGGATCGAGAACCAAGCAGTGCGCGAGCAGCACAGTGAGCGGCACTAAGATCTGTCACATCGAGCTCGCCGTCATATATTGTGGCGTCGAGGTACTGACCACGTAGGATTTTTTTTTTCTGTGCACGGCTAGACACCTCGACGTCAAGATCTGTGGCACCGAGACGCGTTACCTCGGCGCCAGAACTCATAGCGCCGACCCCTAAAGTTCAAAGATGAGTTTAAGTCTCTTAGAGGGACAAATGTAAATTTTATTAAAAAAATGGTTAAATAGTAAAAAATTAGGGCTATATGTAACCATTTTAATCAATTACATGTGACTAGCACAACATGACGAAGAACAAGAACAATACGTTGTTTGGTTGCACCATTGGCGTAACACCTCACATAATGGGAAAAAAATAGGATGCATACACTATACACCAAGCTCTAGTGCATACATGTGGTGGATGGATTCCATGTGTCCCTATTTCATGATCGAATAGCATGCACCAGGCCTGCCTTGAGTGCATTTACATGGGCCCAATTATCTACAAATCAACCCATATAGACAGAGTAAAAGCATAGGCGTCTGATTATTTTGTTTGTACATGTGTCAACACAACAGGGGTGGTATGCACTATAGGATGGTGCATAGTGTAGTATGGTGACAACGTGGCATGGTTCCACGTTCCCGCTGACCGGTGGGGTGCTTGTCTAAGCGTCGCGTGCACGGTCACCATGCTTGCTACGCTTCTCGCGTTGGCGGTGCGATTTCCGTCGTAAACGCTAACATCTCCTCTTAATGAAAAACGCGTAACGGACATGTTCTCGAAAAAAACAAAGGACAAAGAACCACTCGTTGATATGCTTTTCATGCATCTCAATCTGGATGCATGGATGCAATAATACCGAGACCTTAATTAGCGTTAAACCAGACGAAATTTCCTTTTGTATTGCAGAAAAATCATGGCCTCATGGGCATACACCAAGCACCACGAACATTTTTTCCCCTTTCAATTGAATATAAATAGTAGGCAGATGTGGATACATCCCAACTTAGGCATCGTTCGGTTGATAGGGAATGATGCACTGGAATGATTCCTACTACGAATGATAGACTAATTTATATAAACTTTGATGAGGTGGAACAAATCCTGGGCAGGATGTTAGTTACTTTAGATCATCCGTGGTGTAGATCAGTGAGGTTTCATTTGGGTTTCTCATAAAAATGGTGTGTACAGAGAGGGAGATGGAGAGTTAGGGTCAGGCACAGACCATCGGTAGGCATTAAGGAGTCGGATCCGGCCATCACTGGTTCGTCGGTGAAGCTCTGCGCGACGGGCAGCGACAGTTCTTTGTCAGAAGTGGAGAGGCGCGGTGGTGGGCAGCGATGGCGCTTCCCCGCCTGGCAAAGTGCCTCCTCTCGATCGGACTAGGGTTAGACGGTGGGGTTGTGGCGGCGGCAGTGAACCTCGTTACCAGAGCCGTTTGCCCCACCTCCTCTTTATAGGCACTGTGCGACGGGGGCCCACTAGCCGCTAGATGGCTGGACGTCCCCGATCAGGACACGGTCAAGGGGTCCGTCTCGACCGTTGGGTCCAGATCAATTCTAACATTCTCTCCCTTGATCTCAACTCATACTTTAACTTTAAACTTTTACGTTAATCCCTTTCACTTTTATTTGTCCCATCACAGATTAGTGCATAGAGCATGCTTCATCGTCACGGTCAATCGCCGATAGACTAAACAGCTACAATACATATCTCTGTTCTGAAACAGATTCTTTAACTTTTGGACCCTTTATTGTCCGAAAATCATAAGCTATACCATAAACCCATGTCGACTGTGTGTTCTCCAAATACACTGGGTGGTAAGCCTTTTGTACGCGGATCCACAAGCACTTGCTTGTTACTTTTATGTTCAATACTTTTAGTATGATTCCGGACTTTCTCTTTCACAACGTATAACTTTAACGTCAATGTGTTTGGCAGCACACTTGACCCATTGTTATAGGAGCGAACTATTTAAATGGTTATTGCTGTTGTATACCATTATTAATTCCGGGTGTAAGTTCTTTTAACCATTTCGCCTGTCCTTAAGCCTCATAACAAGCTATATTGTGGGTATGCATCTTTGATGACACCACAACTGTTTCTTTGGAGCTTTTCCACAATAAAACTCCAACCGCGAGTGTTAGCTACTATGTGGGTTTCACTAAACATCTCGCCAAAATTTAACATTTGTACCCACAACTATTTGAGAGTACTTATTCTTTCTTACTCACCATGAGGCCTATAAATCTTTGCATAATTGCAAAACATTCTCAACTCCATTCCAGTGAACTATATCTGGACGGGACTTCTGCCAAAACATCCCGGATACATGAACTATGTCAGGGTAAGTTCTTACTTATAAGCACTCATTAAGTTTCCAACAGCTGAAGCATATAGGACGTCCTTTCGATCTCACATTGGCTTTTGGAACACTGAAAGTTCCCAAAACTATTACTCTTAACTATAGGAACAGACGCAGGTTTATTTACATATATACTTTATTTCTTTAGAATCTTCTCTAAGTATACACTTGAGATAGTTCTAATACCCCTTTTTCTTTTGTCTCGGTAAATTCCAATTTCTGGAATGAATGACGCTTTACCAAGATCATTCTCATTGAAACTTGAGGACAAGAACTGCTTCTTCTCCAACAGTAGATTAACACCACTACTAGCGAGCAAGGTGCTATCCACGTGTAGGATTAGGGAAATTGATTTCCCATGTTTAAACTTTGCATAAATGCAATTGTCATCTATATTTTATTTAAACCCCAAACTTTTTTATTGTACTGTCAAACTTCAAGTACCACTGTCTTGAAGCTTGCTTTAATCCATAAATGGATTTCTTCAGGCAACATCCCTTACGTTCTTTTCCTTCCATGACAAAATTTTTTGAGTTATGCCATGTAAACTTTTTCATACAAATCCCCATTGAGGAATATGTCTTTACATCCTTCTGATGTAACTATAAATCGTAATGTGTCACTAACACCATTATGATTTTAAAAGAACCCTTTTATGCTTATTATAATCTATTCCTTCTCTTTGTGTACAACATTTCACCACAAGTGGCGCTTTATAGCTTTCTATATTCCATTTGGAGTCACATTTGTCTTGTAGACCCATTACAACCTACTGTTTTGACTCCATTGAAAATTTCTTCTAAGTCCCAAACATCGTTGGTATTTATCGATTTCATTTCATCTTCCTTTGCTTCTTGCCATTTAGACGAGTGAACGCCTCTCATGGCTTTTTTAAATGAGGTGGAATTACCCTCCATTTGAATTTTTTTTCTTAACATTGACTTCTTAGTCACCAGAAATATCTGATTTTCTTATTCTTTGAGACCTTCTGGGGCCTCGTGGCACTTCTTTCATATGGGGCTATTGTTGCTCTTCATTGCCAAAAGGTAATTGTTCTATAGCATCCTGTATCATAAGGTCCTTGTTTACTTATTCATCTTCTTTAAGAGCTAACATCAGGTGTTGTATATGTCCTACAACATCAACATGTATTAAGCAATTTGTTGCTCTAAAAACACTGTAGTGGATATGTAATCCCACTTCTATTCAAGCCTTAGGTATCTACATACCATGCTCCCCCAGATTACTCCATCTTCTATAAAGATGGTGTATCTTCAAATTTCTTATTTTGGGTTTAATCTGCTAAAAAACTCATATGGCGCGTTTAGCACCGTTTTGATAACTCTGAACTCGTCCAGTATGAATACTAGCCGACTATACTATCTTCCTTTCAGAACTGTAAAAGGTCCAGAAATTTAGCTATTTCTTTACTTTAGGGGTATCGTTATTATGACCGTCTTACTCCCTCAACGATCACATTCATCTTTTATAGATCACTTTTACCTTCAATGCATAGTATGCATTGTATTATCTGAAGTATGGGGAGGGAAGTATCTTTCTTAATTGTCTTTCTTAATTAATCTTACATTCCCCCCTCGAAATATGGTATGAACTTTTCTACCACAATTTCAAAACATTCAGAACTCTTGTGAATGAGGAAACTTTGATTACTTACTTCATCCATATGATTACATCATGCAAACAAAATTCGTATGGGAGTACATTTTTCTCATTACACTTCAAAACTTAACATAGTCTATTATTATCAATACTTCTGCAAGTCACGCTTGCATATCATTCTTATCCTTTGGTTCACATGCAACTTTCTTTTGTTCTTAAACTCATTGAGTACTTAATGACCATGACACAATCAGAGTGTACGGTCAGTACTAGGATAGCATAAGAGCTACCCTAAACTTCTCTCCATGTGCGGGATACAGTTAGAGCACATGAGTCATCACATCCTTCTCCCCCATGCGGGATAAGTACTATGCCAACTTTACCCCGTCATGTGGGTATTTTCTCAAACTTTTCCCGTCATGCGGGTACTATCACAAACTTTTACCGTCATGCGAGATAATTCTCTTAAACGGATATAATTGTCAGGATTGGCTCGTGTTCAATCACCAAATTCAGAAATAAATACAAATATTCTTTTAACACACATGTTTAATCCAATGTTGGTCAAATTAAACATGTATATGACTTTTACAACTCTCATAAGTGAAACTGGAAAAAAATTCTTCTTCACAGAGAGTACATAAAAGACATTTCTCAATGAAGACTCTCGTTGATCTATCTCTTTTCTTGGATCAATATCCTAAAATTCTTTTCTTTTGAAGCTGTTCTTTAAAGAGAACATAGTCCCTTAAACAATGGCATTCTTTCAAACATAACTTGCTCTTAGGCATTTTATCATCTGAGTCACAAGTACCCAGCTCATTTCTCTTACTGCCTTCAAGAATGAAAGCATGGAGGTCTTTTGTCTGAATAATATTCAACAATAGTGCTCATTAAACTTTGAAATCTTTATGTTCTATTCTATATCACCGTTGGGCAGAAATAGAATAAAACATCATTCTTCTACATTAATTCCACATCATCGTTGGGTAGAAATGGAATTAATGTATATAACCTCAATAATTTTGAAAACATAGAACTGCTCCTCAGAATTAAATTCTCCCGTTGGTTCGAATTTAATTAGAAGACAATCAATTTCATTGCAGCGGAAACATGAAAATACATTTCTCTAGTTTAAGAGCATTCCTTGATCTTTATCTATTCTATGAAAAATTGGTCACTTTGATGCAAAATTTATCAGAGATTTAAACTTTAAACATAAAACTTATAGAATTATAATATTGTTATCATCAACGTTGGTTAGAAAATAGTAATACCATAATTCAACTTTAAACTTAAACTCATACATAAACTTATAATATTGATATCATCGACGTTGGTCAGAAAATAACAATATTATAATTTATCTTAACTATCAACCGACTATTCCCCCAATTAAAATAATCCAAAATTTAATTGGAGTATAAAACAATCTTTGCAGCGGGAACTATGAACACAATTGTTGAATTTTACCCACAGGAAAATTTTCTTTTTCAATTTTCTTTGAGCCATTTATCATTTTCCAGGAAATTGCATTTTACTGGAAAATTAGAAAAAAAGGCTTAATTCTTTACTGCGCTGTGGCCCAACCGGCAAAACGGCCCGGCCCAACTCGGCACGCGCGCGCGCAGCCACCCAGGCCGCAACGTGGGCCTAGGCCGGCAAAGCGCCGCGGCGCGCTCGCCCGCCTAGGCCGCTGAGTGGCCTGGTGACTCCTCGCCATCGGATCGAATCCGACGGTCGTCCGACCGTTTTGCCTGATCAAAAACCCGCCTCCCGGTCGCGCTCTCGAAACCCTAGCCCTCACTTCTCTTCTCCCTTCTCTCTCAGCTGCGCGGCGAGCCCGAGCGAAACGAGCGAAGCGAGCAGATGACTCGGCGCCGTCGCCGTCCCCCTCGCCGGCGAGCGCGCTCCCCAGCGGGTGAGCGCGCCGCCGTCGAGCGGCATGGCGACGGCGCCCCTTTGGCCAGAGCCTAGCGAGCAGCGCCCCCTCAGCTCAGCCTTCTTCTCCCCGCGCGTCGGCGAGGAAGTAGTGCTGCGCAGCGGCGAGGTAAGCCCACTGACTCTTCCTCATCCCCTTTTCCCTTTCTGTTTCTTCGGATCTTGCTTTTTCTTCTCGGTTTTGACCGATTGGGAATAGGGTTGGAGATCTTGGGTTAGGGTTTTGGGCCCTATTCTTCTTCCCCGAGTTCGAGTCGCGGGTTTAGGGTTCGGATCAAGCGGTCTTGAAACCGAGCCCCTTCCATCTTCACCTAGTTAGGGTTAGGGAAAAAACCCTAGTCTGTGTGCTCAGATCCGAAAGGATCTAATCCGTTCTTTTCTTTTCTGTTCTTTTGATTCTCTTCCCGCGCGTCAGCAAGCCGGCGGCGGGTGCTCCATCCCGCGTGAGGCGGTAGTGACGGCGGCGGGGAAGCCCTGGTAAGACTTCCCCCGGACCGTCCAATTTCTTTAGGGTTAGGGTTTGGGTTCACTTTTCCGAATCGAATTCGGTTCTTCTTCATCTTTGCTTTTCCCTACTTGATCTACACGGAACTCGCTCCGATACCATTGTTAGTTACTTTGGATCATCCGTGGTGTAAATCAGTGAGGTTTCATTTGGGTTTCTCATAAAAATGGTGTGTACAGAGAGGGACAGAGAGGGAGAGGGAGAGTTATGGTCAGGTACAGACCATCGGTAGGCATTGAGGAGTCGGATCCGGCCATCACTGGTTCATCGGTGAAGCTCTGCGCACGGGGCAGCGACGGTTGGTGTAGCGGTGGAGACCGGCGGTGGTGGCAACGGCAGTGGTGCTTCCCGCCGTTGGCAGTGCCTCCCTCTCGATCGGACTAGGGTTAGACGGTGGGGTTGTGGCGGCGGCAGTGGACCTCGTTACCAGAGCCGTTTGCCCCACCTCCTCTTTATAGGCACTGTGCGACGGGGGTCCACTAGCCACTAGATGGCTGGACGTCCCCGATCAGGACGCGGTCAAGGGGTCCATCTCGATCGTTGGGTCATGACGGATGAGATCAATTCTAACACACAGGAATCTTGTTAACCGAACGAGCCCTTAATCATTTCCTCAGAGTTCAGACTGCGTCAGGTCCGTATCCGAAGATTAACACATGACACAATGGATCCATTTATCTACTAGCTTCCAGGTGTGAATTTGAGGCACATGGGTGGCTTGATCTTGGCCAGAGAAAGCAACGACGACGGGAAAGTCCATATGCCATCACCGCAGATTAGGCCTGACGCCACCGCCGGCACCAGCAACGTGGTCTCGTTGCCGTCAATCCGTTGCCAGGCAAAGACCACCAAGGTCCCCACAACCATGTCGATGGCGAAGCTGGCGCCGACGAGGAACGGCACTGCCATCGCCGTCGGCAGGGGCACGTACCTCGCGTACCGCGGCGGCAGGACGTCCTTGATGACGTTGGCGAGCACGGCGAACGCGAAGAACCCCGCGGACAGCGGCAGGCAGTTCGTGGGCAGCGCCGAGAAGCCCTGCGCTCCCAGGAGCGCCATGTTGCGGTAGATGAGCGCGAACGGCGCCTTCCAGTACCCATTGGGGTTGCCGACGTCGAACGCCCTGTAGAAGAGGAGGAACGTGAGCGGCGTGACGACGCAGCCGATGGCGGCGCCGACGGCCTGCGTGGCGAGCATGGACCGCGGCGACGTGAGGGTCAGGTGCGCCGTCTTGAAGTCGTGCATGAGGTCGGCGGAGATGAGCACCAGCTGCTTGACCAGCCCGCAGCCGACGAGGCCGGCCACGATGCGGTCGTCGCGCCCGGCCCACGCCGCGAGGACGAAGAGCGCGAGCTGGCCGTAGCTGTAGCCCATGTTGATGTCCGTGAGCCCGGCGCCGTAGGAGTTGGAGAAGCCCAGCACGGGCGCCAGGCAGCGCGTACGCGGCCACCACGTAGTACCACCGCACCTGCCGGAACATCATCGGGATGGCGAGCACCGCGACGGCGCTGATGACGGCGTACCCGGCGTACGCGAGCCACGCCGGGATGGAGTCTCGGTTGAAGACCTCGTCGCGCCGCAGGTCGTCGATCGCTGCCGTGTTGCCCTCGTCGGCCACTGCATGATCAGATACAAGTAAATACGAAAGGTAGAGTAGGATTGCACACTCTTCACCTCTGCTAGTGCTATACTGCTACCTCGGTTGTTGCCACGTCTGAGTTTTGATCGCTCATGCAAGCTCTTGGCGGTGACGCCGAGGACCTTGACGAAGTGGTAGATGCCATCACCCATGATCAGAGCTATGCACACGAAGGACTGCATGGCAGAGCAACCAAAACGCTATATATCAACACTGCATATTCTCTACTCTACTCACTGGTTTGAAGAATTCATTCATTCAGGTGAGGAAGTGTGAGTCATCAGACCTTGTAACCATACAAGCTGGTCATGCTGCTCTCCGGTACGTCTTGCAGAGTAACAATCGCCCTTGCGTTTGCTGATGAGTGGCCACAGAATTCCCCAGGAGAGGACCGCGCCGAGGAGGGTGGAGAGGTTGACATGGTGCGGGCAGATCATCCCGGCGCCGACGTACGTCATGCTGAAATCGAAGAAGAACCTGATTGCAAGCGTAGGCGACAAACAACAGGGTTCAGACTTCAGAGAGGTGGCCGCCATTTACGTATGTATGAAATAGTACGATGTGTAGCACAAGGAAGGATTCATGAAGACAGTATATATATTACGTTTGTTTCCAGGCCTTGAGGCCAAACGTAGGGAACTGAGCGAATCCGCAGGCGTTGCCACCGGTGTAGAACCACTGGAAGAAGCTCCAGAAGAAGCTGATCCCGAAGTATTTCAGAAATGCACGTACTTGCTTCTTGCAGTTGAGTATGAGCAAAATCATTCAGAATCTCGGATCGGTTATGCTACAGATGCATACTAAGTACTAACTAATCGGCTTCATTTAGCTGTTGTACAAGCATTAACAAGAGAGACAATCTCCATACGCACTCTGCATTCTTGTCTCCTTGAGGGGTGTGGAACCCGTTTATAAGAACAGCTGTTGCCGTCCCGCTTGGGTATGTCAGCTTGTAGTCGATGACCAAAGCCTGAATAAATAAATTGCAGCGCATTTTTTGAAGTGGATTTTCGCAAAATAAGATGATTTCTGCATGTGAAATGAAATGAAGCACCTTTCTGAGGGGAATCAAGGTGAGGAGGCCGCCAAAGCTACTGGCGACGAGGAAGCCGGTTATCCACCCGAATCCTGGCTCCTTGACGCTCCCCGGCACATTTCCCGGCGTGTCCACCCCGGCCGCCTCGTACGTCCTCTTGTTCAGGCCCAGCATGAACGACCCGAACCCTGCACAGGCGCCAGCGCCGCCGCATACAGCAATTTCACGAGTCACGACACGTGACCAAGTGCGATGACGCGCGCGCGCGCGCGCGCGCCACGGACAAGCGAGCGCGACGACGCGACGCGCATCCAAGCGCGTGCCAGCCGACCACGCGACACAAGCGAGCGAGCTGAGCTGACAGGTGTCTGGCACGTACCGCAGAGCGCCAGCGAGTAGCACGCGACGGCGCAGGTCTGGACGACGGTGTTCTCCTGGCGCGTGAAGGGCCTGGCGCCGGCGACGCCGAGGCGGGCCAGCGCGCCCGTCCAGCCGCGGAGCGCCAGGAACGCGAGCAGCGCGGCGGACACGTTCATCGTGGGCACGAACCCCGTCGTGAGGTTCAGCTTCATCACGACGACGGTGTACATGAACCCGATGAGCGCCGCGGCCACCAAGCCCCGCGCCGTCAGCTGCTCGCGCCACGGCGGCTGCTGCTGCTGCTCCAGCGCCGCGGCGGCGGACGACGCAGCCTCGGGCTCCGGATCTGCAGGCTGCGGCTCCGCGCCGCCGCCGGCCTCGCACTTGTCGATCTCGTCCGCGGGGTTGATCTCCATGGCAGAGCGGCTAGAGCAAGAACTACTGCGAAGTGATTAGCGGCTCAGTGCCCCGGACTCTGCCGGGCCGGGCCATTAAATGGGCAAGCCTTCTGGTCCTCGGCATCTGCAACCTCGCTCTGTGTTCAGCATGTCGACATGGCGTAGAAGCAAAAGTCACCCAAAAATGTGGAAAATCCAAAATCCTATCGACATGGCGTCTGCTGTGCTTTCAGGTTTGTGGCTTCCTGTCGAGGCGTCGAGCAGTTCTTCCACCATTTGCGCAGGATGCATCAGTTATTCAGCTGTGACTTGTGGGAATACATCTGCACCGCCGCGTGCTCGTTGCAGGGGGCGCGCGATGCGGCCAAAGTACCAATAACGTAGTAGCGTACTCTCCCTCAATCCAAAAATAGAATACACGTCTTATTTTTGTTAAAAGTCAACCAATTTTATGTTTAATCAAATCTATAAAAAACACGAACATTTATGATATTGAATAAATATAATTAGAATAATCATGCAATATAATTTTCATATATAGTACAGCTATTTGAAGACAACAATGTTAATATTTATTTTTTATAAGCTTAGTTAAATATGAAATTGATTGGTTTCTTGAAAAGCGAGATGTATAGTTTTTTTTAACAAAAGAAGTCCCTCTATTTATTACGTGTCACATTAGTTTTGTGCTAAGTCAAACACAAATATCTATGACCATCTATTTCAAAAATCCTTATACTTTCCTAACATATAAATTATATATTATAAAAATATTTCTCATAGTGAACCTAAAAACATAAATCTTATGTCATAGAACTATATATTTTTTTGAAATTGATGATCAAAGATATAAATATTTGACTTAGGACAAAGCTAATATGACATGTAAAAAACAGAGGAGTGCTTGTCGGAAATCTTAGCAAAGAAGTTTCCGTTTTGGAATTGATAGGTAGAGATTTTTTTTGAAAGCTATAGGAAGAGATATTTTGACTTTATGAGCTCATATGTGAGTACTAATATAATTCAACAACCACGTGAGATAAAAAAACAGAGGTTTGCTTGCTACTCCCTCTGTCCTATAACATAGTGCATTCTACGAATTTTAAGACAAATTACAAAAGACGTATGTACATTGTTTCAAAAAAAAAGACACGTGTACACTTATTTTATTTCCTAATCAGACGTTATCATCAATGTGATTAATGGTGATTGATTGGTAAATAGAAAATATATAATGCAAAACTGGTTTTTGTCCTCTAGAATGTCTTATATTTAAGGTCAAATTTTGAATGCTAGAATGCACTATATTATAGGACAGAGAGAGTACATCTTACAGTAGATGGTACGCGTGAAGTCACTTTTTAGCGAGAGCTACTAACATTTTAGTACATCTTCCTAGGACATATTTGGACGAGAGAATTAGCATTGTAGTTGGAAATGTTTCTATTAGAACCAGATAACAAGGGAAGAGATAACAAGATTTTAGATATCTTTCCTAATTCTACTTCTTTTAATCTGAATTCAGGTAGCTAGCTAAACTTCCTTAAAATGATTCCAGTTCACCAGGAAACATTTCCAGATATAACATAGATTTGAAACATTCTTTGAGAGAATTTAGAGCCCTACCAAATGGACATTTATTTTGGTACTTGTCACAGTTCCGAGGATAATTCTAGAAAACCTATCCAAAATACTCTAAAGACAATCTGATTTTGGGCCTGTTCGCTTGTCTGAATTTTAGAGGAATCTGGATGGTTTGGAGGAATGCTGGAGGAATTTGTGAGAGAAAAACACTGTTCCGGATGAAAAAATAAGCGGATCAAGCCGGGTTTAAGGGCACGCGAACGGAGCCAAAGGCACTAGTCATTTCCTCGCTCTATATAACATGCTCTTTAGAGTAATATATACCATTTTGTTGTTGAATTTGTTTTCTCCTTTAGAAATAATAAATACTATCTGATCTTATATATCTATAGTGAAATGTAACCAATTTTGCTTTTGTTAAGCTCCAATATATTAAGAGTTAGCATAACTGGATGAGCCCACACAGTGGCGGACCCAGGGGGCAGGGCTGCGCGTGCTGCAACCCTTGTCCTTGGCTAGAAAATTCCATATACACTTGCTCCAGCAATTATAAAATTAAAGAAAAAAAAGATGATCTAGCCCTTTATTATATGGTTCTGCCTGGGGCTTAGCAGATTTCTGGGTCCGCCCCTAAGCCCATAGTGTTGTGTGGAGCTATGGACGGTGCATTAGCAACTGTAGCCATGTATGGGGGTATTACAAAGATGGCCTCATCATCTCTTTGTTAGCGGATGTTGTTTTTCTTTCAAAATTATAACAATCAGGATACCTCAACATATCTTTAGTGACCTATTTACACTAATAAGAGGGAGATGATTTCATCCTATCCATATAAGCTATTGATGACTTTTTCCTCTTTAGAAATAAGGATTATTAGAGCAACTTCAAAAGTCTCTTTATATCATTTCTTATTAATAGGAATAAAGACTTTGATGAAAAATACCATCCAACAACCTTTTTTAATTGGGTCTCTAATATTGATGTTCTCTATTCTAGATTTCTCTCTAATCAAAGATGAAGAGTACGGTTGGCTCTTTATAGTACGCACAAGATATAAAGAAGCTATTAGAGAGTGAAAAGATATAGAGAGCGATTTTTATTCAAATGACTCAAAATAATGACTTAGTGTCAGGTATCGATATTAGGGATACCTGTCGGAGACCAATACTAGGGTACCTGAAGAGGAGCTAATAACCATCAACATTGATTCGTCTGAGCAGTCAAGAGCGCGACTATAGCTCCAATCGACCCTCAGGTGCGCACACTTCGTCTGAGGGTGGCTCTGCCTCATCCGACCCCTGAAGGTTGGCCCTACCTCGCCCGACACCGAGGCCATAGGGTCCGCCTCACCCGACCCCTGAGGGCGGACTTCGCCTCGCCCAACCTCTGGGGGCGGGCTCCGTCTCGCCCGACACCAAGGCCGCGGGCTCTGCTTCGCCCGACCTCTAAGGGCTGGCTCCGCCTCGCCTAACCCTTGGGTTTGGGCTTCGCCTCACCCGAGTCTTGGGTTTGTGCTCCGCCTCGCCCGACCTCTAGGGAGGAACTCCGCCTCGCCCGGCCCCGAGGTCAGGGGCTCCGTCTCGCCCGATGGAGACCCATACCGTCGCTAACCACTCTAGGTCCAAGTATATGGGCATGGGTCAAAGCTCTGACGCCAGGGAAGAGACTGGCATGCCTTGATGTAGCCCATGACCCACGATGAGCCATACCTGGGGGTTCACATCAGGAACAGCGTCGGGCGTACCGGTATTGTTCTGCCTAACCCCCGTACGAACACTGACGGGCGCGTCAGTTCACCATGATGTCCGCCATAATAGAGTGGAGCGCCATGACCGATAGACGATGCCTGCACATAGCGCCAGTGACAGACAGGGCCACGATGAGAAGCTGTCCCTGTTGACGTCTACAGGGTCGGCGGGGCCCACATAGAGGAGGAGAAGGACCCAACGATCCTGAAGGACTTCTTCCTCTTGTTCTCTTCTCTTCCTCCACTATAACTTGTGCTTTTTCTTGGCCTATAAAAGTGAAAGCACGACATCCCACAAGGGACATCGGACTCGAATCGATCGCATCAGAACACATCACACCGATTCGGACTCGAACCCCAAACCGATTAGAACACACAAGCACACAGCAGAGAAGCGACCGAGCCCTCGATGCCCGTTCGCTCCTCTCACCAGAGACTTGGGACATGTTCCTCTCTCGGCCTTTTGTAACCCCTACTACGAACTTTTAGTGCTAGTAACACGAGCAGCGGCAACGAACTGGACGTAGGGACATTTCACCCGAACCAGTATAAACCTTGTGTCCTCTTAGCACACTATCCGGGCCAGACACGTAATATTAGAAATTTACTCGCTGGTGGCAACTCGAAACACCGACAGTTGGCGTGCCAGGTAGGGGCCTTTTGTGCGTCTCGACGTCCACACCAGGCCTCAGATGGCTAGTCACAACCTTGGCTGGGTCCCGAGCGCGCACGTGCGTTTCGGAGACCTGGACTTCATCGTCTTAACGGAGGGACGGTTGGCGATGGCTCCCGCCGCCGCTCGACCTCTCCACTCCACTGGCCTCGACGCAATCGTCAAGGCGCTTGAGGAGCTACAGCTACACACACCGAAGGCCCGCACCCTCAGAAGCAACTAGCTCCTCAACTTCGTCTACAGGAGGTTAGAGCGTCAGGTCGGCGCCTTCCTAGGACCCTGGCCGTCCTGAGAGGACCTACGCCACCTCACCTTCTTGTTCACCAATGTCATGGCGTAGCATGCTGGAGGGGAGTCGCTCTCTCTAGAATACCTCATATGGAGTGCCCCAACAGCACTCCCGTTCGGTCTCCACAACGCCACAGTGACCGATGGCCACCCTGTGGCGCAACGCACGCCTCCATCCCCCGTGAACGACGAGTTCGTAGGGATGACCAAGTATGTCATGGAGTCTTTCCACGACCTCCTCGCTGAAGAGTTGGAGTCCCCCTCTGGCTCTAACTCTAGCAGGGGGAGTCATCACCCCTCTCGTGAGTGTTTCATGGCAGGTACCCCCGAGGGACACATCGAAAGCATCCGCGAAGACGAGGCTACCCCGATGAACAACCTCGACAACGAGGTCGAGGGGGAGATGGGGGCCCCACCTAGCCTATGGGTGGAGCAGCTGAAGGCCCGACACCTAGAGCTTGAGAAAGCATGACTCTAGCTCGAGCAGGAATACGCGGAGCTCGATCGAGAGATCGAGCGCCGTGGAGACGGCGGGCGCGCGCGAGCCATGGCCGGCGACGTGAACTGAAGGATCATCACGGACGATGATGCCCATCCACACTTCACCTGTGTGAGCCAGAACATCGCTGCTATGACAGCCTTGCTCCATGGGCTTTTGGGGATTGTCGGGCCCACCACGAGATTCGCACGCTGCTCGAGCGTGCGGCGGCGCAGCAGGCCGATAGC